GATAGCATCACTTGTCAACTTGACACACCTGGGAAGGAGGAACCTCAATTGGGGAATTTTCCTCTATCAGATTGGCTTGTGGCCATGTCTATGAGGCATTTTCTTGGTTGTTGAGTGATGAGGGAGGGCCTAGCCCACTGTGGGTGGTGCCACCCTTGGGCAGGGGGTCCTGGGTTGTATAAGAAAGCAGGCTGAGCACAGACCAGAAGAGCAAGCCAGTAAGCAGCATTCCTCCATGGTCTGTGCCTCAGTTGCTGCCTCCAGGTTCCTGCCCTGAGCTCAGTGCCTCCATGATGACCTGAAAACTGTAAGGTGAATAAACCCTTTCCTCCCCAACATGCATTTGGTCAGTGTTTTATCATAATCATCTATCCAGGAACATTTAAACTATTTCCACATTTTGGCTGTTGTAGATAGTACAGCTGGGAAAATGGGTGTACATGTAATTGTTTGAGTCCCTAATTGTCATCAATATGCCAAGGATGCCCCACCTCTATGATGAACATTAAGTCAACATTAAGTCATCCACTTGGATAACCTAATCAGGAGACTGGGCGTCTTTGACCTTTTCCTCACTCTCCTGTCCACTGCAAGTCCTGTGAATTTTCCTTCTAGCTGTCCCTTTGTTTGTCCACTTCTGCCTCCACTGCCACCACACTCATAGGCTGTCCCACAGATACACTTGCTTATGAAACTGCATCAATCTTCTTCCAGGTGCCCTGGATACAGACATTGGTCTCTCTGATAAACGTGTCACATGATAGCCAAGGAGCTCCCTTAAGAGCACAGCTTAGGTCATAACAGCTCCATTTCCTTCATTTTTAGGACACCCAGCGTCTTTAACGCCACCTGCTTGTGTCCTCTCTCCAGGTCCATCTAAAATCACTCCCTTTGCTCTTTTCCCTCCCACGATGCTCTTTTCCTTGTGCCGAGGATCTCCCACCTCAGGGTTCTGCGTGGCTGATCGCTCTAACAGCAAACTGTTTTGTCGACCCCTTCCCCTCATCTACTTTTCATCCCTCCTCTAGTCTTGTTCCCTTTTGTATAGCTTTGGCTTCCTTATGGAGCCTTCCTGACACCAAGATAAGATCCGTTTCCCCAGGATATGTTCTGGCCCTCATCACATCTGTGTAAATATCAGTGGGGTTCAGGACACAATGCCTTAAAATATGACTATAGGAAGCCACCAGAATATGCCACCCTAAAATTAGCCCATTAGCATTTTTCTCATGTGGAGGAGTTATTTTGTGGAACCACAGATATAGAAGCTTTGAAGTTGCTCATTTGTAAGAAAAACATATCTGTAAAAACAAAATAAAAAAAACAAAACCCCTCCATTTGTAAGGAACTAAATCAAAAGAGACTCTAATCTGTGGAGAAGGTACCCCTTAAATATGC